TAGCATGCAGAACAGTGGTCTAAGTTACGATTATTTGTGGAAAAGGCTTCTGAAAAAAACTCCTCTATAAATAAAGGATAAATAAGGTTCCTCCAAAATATCTAAATGTTAACAAAGTTGCATGATTTTTCTCATTTGTGTATGTGTTACTCAACCTATAGCCCTTGCCATCTGCAAACTGATTGCAATTGCTAGGGATTCATTTTAGCTAGTACACGTCTCTTCAGAGAAGAAATTTTAGAAAATGTTAATAAAGATAATAATGAACTAAATTGGCATGCCTAAAGGAATTAGATGTACAGATGTATGAAGATTCCCCCAGCTTGATATTTTGCACCAGTGTACCATCAAAAATGACTGAAAGACTTAGGGTGAGATGCTGTGATTATTTAATCTGAATTACATGCACTCTGCTTTTGGAATTCAAGATGTGCAAGTGAGCGTGCTGCTGAAGGCTCATTTGGAAATTTTGCCTGGGGATAAAAATATACTGGGAATATTTAAAAGATATTCAAACCCAACTGTTAATTCAGAAATACTGTTAAGGAAATTACCACTGATCAGCTAGAGGGAAGACAAAAGATAATAAGCATGCACTAACGTTTTCAGTTTGGGAAGTAATCAAACCAAATGAAAGCAAACTTTTGGGTCAAGGCATTCCTGATGCTCAATCCCTCCCCAAGGAACTCAAAGCTTTTTTTTTTTTTTTTTTGTACAGAACTAGAAATATAGAGAAACTTAAATTCTACAAGGAAACTGAAGAGTGCTTGCAAAGTGCTACTAACGACTTAGAGAAAGAGACTGTAGGGCACACAGTGGGGACATGGCAATAAGTGGCTAAGAGCAGGGGAATCAGCAGTCAAGGAGACAAAGGCTGCCACCTTTCTGGATGGAGAAAAGGGATGGATCGGCAGAGAAGGCATCTCAGCCCAGAGATGGGAGAATGGGGTGTCTGCTGCACTGAGCAAACCCTCTTCCTCATGCAAGAACTGTCAGGAACGTGCACAGTGCTTCCTTCATTTCTGCCTTGCAAGGATTGAAGAATGGCAAAATTGCTACTAACTGAGCTTAACAGATGGGTCTGAACCTCTCTCACTGTTTCGGGTTGCATTAATCTCATGTTGGGTTTCTCATTTAGCTGAGAAAATGTCACTGAAACAAATGAACCGGAGCAGGCTAAAATACTATCAACAGATGTAGAGAATCTCTTCTGCATATTGCAGTTACAGAGGCAAACAGTCGGCATTCTCACTTTTCTGCTCCTACCTGCCCCTTCAAAACTAATCAAAGATACTGCTGGTTGAGTTGGGAATAAAATTGGCTAACATCAGCAAACACTTGGAAGAGAGAAATGGGTCATCAGTCAGAATTTGGAAGGGAGAAGAGGCAGAGAAGTGAAGGCAGCCAGGGAATGTGGATGGCAGCAAGGCTGACTTGCAAACGGGATACGGATGGGCACTGCCTTGGAGACAGGAATGACTTTGTTTCTATCCACAGATCTCAGAAACCTGCCCGCTTGGAATGCCCATTTTAAGGACTCTCCGCACAGAACAGCAAAGGACCTAGCAGGGAGTTGCTGCAGTCCAACATGGGACAGAGCAGATGAACACCACATTCCACCTGTGCACTCACATCACCCTCTGGAGATCATTGCTGCAGGTTGGTTATGGAGGTGCGCTCACCCTAACACATCTTACACATTCAGCACCAGAAGGAGCACACAGCAGCTCCCCAGCACCTTTCCTCAGAGCTCAGCAGCAGCTCCCTGCTCGTCCCCGCTCCCCAGGGACAGCCTGCAGCCACAGCTCTCAGGCAATCCTATGACGTGAGAGCATGGAATGGCACGTTGTGATTCACCGCAGCACACTCACTTAGAGGCTGGCCAGATACTGTCTGACAACACATTTTGCTTCAATGCATAAATTCAATGCGATGTGATTTCCCTTCATACGCAATGTTGACCAAAGAGGCTTTTCCATTTTCATTAAGCAGATAAAAGGTTTAAACTCTATAAACGCGTCTGACATTAAAGTTTTAATAAAAATATATTCCACTTTTTTTTTCCTTGGACTGACCTGGTCTGTGGTATATTATTTACATAACCTCTGCAATATCTATTACAGAGCTGACAAGACTGCTCTCTCCACAACTGCAGGCTGCCCTGCCTGTCACCATGATGGGTAAACAGTGTCACCTTTTCAGGGCCCAATGAATTATAGAGAAGCAGTAAAGTGCACCATCCATCACAATGGCACTGAGGAGGTTTTTGAAGTAGATTTCAGATATCACAAATGCTGTTTAGACTGTTACCAGAAAGCACAAATTGGACAGCTCATATACAACGGCCATATAATGAATGGACATGACAGGTCGTCAAAGAAAATGAGTCTTCCTATTCTACAAATAACCTTGTCAACATGCAGGTAGAGCTATAGCTCTGCTTCTAGACAGAAGCAGATGCAATGAACTAACGGTTTTATTTGTTTGAACTTCCAGCACACCAAATACACAAATGAGATACAATGGAGCAGCAGCATTCAAGCAATATTAGCAATTCAACCTGATTATGTGATGCGTAATAGAAGCTCTCTACTAAAGATGTGTCACATTTGAAAGAAAATTATTCAGATTATGAGTAGCTGTAACTAGAATATCCTTTCACAGGAAAACCCTCATGATTTAGCAATCACAACCAACTGCAACATATTCAAAATACACAATTTGTAGTTCCACTGCAAGCAATCAACTCGCTCTCTGATTGCTGAACCCAGCAACAGCCACCACTTTATATTTCTCAAAGTTTTTTTTTTCTACCCCATTATCTTAAATAGCGTAGATCATTCCATAGGATTGAAAGTTAGAAAGGTTAGATTGCTACCAATTTCTCCATAGCCTAAACATGTGGGGAAATTTCCCTTTTAGGCAAAGCATTAGAAAAGCATTCAGGATAGACTCTTATCAGAAAACAGAAAACATCTGAAGTTCTGTGAGAGCATCAAGTATCTCAAAGCCCTGACTGTGGAATTATACACAGTCAGCCATCCTTTGGCTCAAACACAAGCTTTGAAAGGTTTTGCCAAAGCCAAGGCACACCCTTACAGATGAGTACATAGGCAGTGTACGTGGTCCTCATTTCTTCAGAATTCAATTATGGAGAAAAGTGTCCTGAAATATAACTCAAAGTGGTACACGTGTTTCTGGTAATAACATCAAAGATTTTCCCTGGTACATTCGATTTCCTTTAATCTGATGAATTAGTTAGCAACACATTTATTTTCATGAAAGAAATCTCAAAGGCCACAACTGTACTTTTACCTCATTAGAGTTACTCTTATTAGGTTATGAGAAAATATATTATGTATTGAGTTTCTAAGTGATGAAGTGTAAGTCAAGTCTGTTCATTAGTATTTTTTACTTGTCTACAGAAAAGTTGAAGAGTATATGATGCAAGACCTATCTTCATTTACTTCATTTCACTTCGTAACATCAAAAACTTCAATATGAAGTTACAGTTCTTTGGGAGTTTTACTGATACAATCCCAGGGCATAACGAGTGTGAAACTAAACATGAAAAATGGGCACGTAAGGCATATTAAAATAAATAAATAAAACAAGAGATGGACGCAAGTCTTCTCCCAAAGGAGACAATCCTTTGGAATAAAAACTTTTGATGCTTTCCAGAAAGAGAATTTCAAACAGGATGAGAAACTGATGGATCTGAAATTCTACCAGCCCTCAGATTTCTCAGTGTCCAAATTTCAAAACCATGTTAATAGTAAGATTGGCTACTGGGCGTGATGCAACTGTCATCAGTTTGATTCAGAAGATTTCCACAATACATTATGAGTAACAAATGAACACGATGAACTGTGTCAAAAACAAAATACACAACGGTTGCATTTTACTACTCGAAAATCAGTAACTGCTGTGCTATAAATATTTTATAGAACAAAGATATTTTGGAAGAGGTATCTCCCAAACTCAACGTCTGTTCTTACACATACACTAATGCCCTTCTGTCATGAGAATGAACTTATAAACAATAAAAGAAAAAAAAAAACTAAAGTTCCCTGCATCACTGGAGGTGAAAGTACAATATTTTAAAAAGGAAAAAGACAACAGTACAACAGCTATGCAGTTAGCAGGGAAATTTACTTTGAAATTTTTATGTTTCAGAAATATATACTGAGATTTATACTAAGTAAGAGGAAAGTAAACAAACAACGACCACTCTGTATATTCCAAATAGATTTGAAAAGCAAATATATGAAAGCAGCCAGTGAACAGGATAGAATAAGGTAGTTCAGAATAGAATAGAGTAGTTCGAGATCTTATTTCACTCAGCAAGTAACTAATCCCAGCTGGCAGCATATTTTTTGTCTGACTGAACTTTCTAACAAAAGATACTGTAAGACAAAAATATGAACTGTGATCTTCAAGGCAAAACAAAGCATATGCATCAATGGAGCAGCCACAGAAGAAACTATGCAAGACCTACAACAATAAGTCAGGAACTCCAGGAATTAAACTAGTGCTCCAGCAGATCTCATGGCAGAGAAACTCAACCTTCCTACTGACATGCCTCAAACCAGTAGCACTTACATATCAGACTGCTGTAGGGGGCTGGACTCAATGATCTCTAGAGGTCTTCCTTCCAGCCCCTACGAATCTGCAATTCTGTGATCAACAAAGATCAGATTTAGCCTGCATGCTTTTTACACCAAAGCAACAGATGACAATACATTAACTCAGATACTTATTTAAAAAATAAATAGTAAAAAAAACAAAACAAAAAAAAAAAACAACACGTGAAGTCTTCAGGTCTGTCTGATTTTTAACATTCAACTTCAGATTTGGGCCACATCACATTTCAAGAGCATATATTGGATTATCTTAAGGCTGGGCAATTCACCACATTTACTTTTCCCAGCCAAGTTCAATGGAAACCGGTGTTTTGTAACTATTCCAACACAAATGACAAAGACAAATAGACACATTACCTCAAGAGTTCCTTTGGCAGAGTAAGCTGCGTATGAGTACAGGAGGTCTTGGCTATGAAGTGTTTTGGTCACTTTGCTGCACCGCTGTCCATCAGGATAAAAACATTCACCACTGTTTTTCAGAGTTATCGTGTTTGAAGAAGAGTCTGGTAGGTCGAGCAAAACAGAGTAATTTACCAGCTGGACATCTTCAAGGCCATGAGAAGTCCACTGGAGCAAAATTTTCATTGCAGCGTCTACATCATCTTCTCTAGGGGATTGTAACAACTCTCTGGAGAAAAACAAGCAAACAATTTAAGATCCCTTCCCACCAAGACCTGCACCTTAGCACGCAGCCATCTATAATGTTATCTGAATGAAACATGGGATTTATGAAAGATCATTAAATAGGGATTTAAAAAATGAAGTCATGCTTCACTGTCTTTGCAAATAATTTTCACCAGTTACAAGGCAAAAGCAAACACTTTTTTGAAAAGAAAAAGATATATAGAAAAGCTATATAAGAAACACTACACTGAAATGCAAAGAGTCAGTAGAAATTATGACAGCAATAGTTTCAAAATTCATTTCTGGAAAGCTGATCGAGTTTCTGATAAAGCATCAACTTAACCAAACACTGTAAGGAAATGAATACAATCTAAAACAATATTTCAGGAACTTTAGGGAGGAAGTGGTGCTGAAGATTAGTTATGTGTTTGTCTTAAATTCATCAAGTAAAGCAAATTTCCTAAGCAGAATAGCATTGCTTTCCCAAATACTGTTTCAGTTGTAGGACAGTGATCCTCATCCCTCCTACGTACATTGAAGGATTGCTTCAGCCAACAGCTTGGCAAGCACAAGACTCCAGCTTGAAAATCATTTTGGCAGTATTGGCCAGATGGATCCTACAGGGACTTCAGGTGAGCTTGTTTGGGCTTAAATCACTGGGTTTGTATTACTGTTCGACACCTGCCACCAGGCGGGCCATAGAACAAAATGACAGCACAGAAGGGCCACCTTCCTCCCAGCAAATGCCAGAAGATCACAGACATAGGAACACATTTTAAGGATAACTTTACAGGATATAGTTTTGTAGATACATAGTTATGTAAGAAAAGTAGGTCACAAGTGAAAAGCAGCATTATTCAAATAGTAAAGCACTCTCTAAACGCAGTACAAAGAAATGCAGGGAATATTTTTTGAGTTTGAGGATTTTCTCATTTATGCAGTAGGTCTGAAGATGTCAAGACCGAGACACAAGACTAGGGATAACAGAGGTATTAACTTTAAAGCACAGAAATACCAACATTGCCTGAAACTCTCGCTCACAAATTTCACAAAAAGGCCAGTTTTCAAGATAGTTAGATGCTTCACAGTCTTTAGTAGATCCTTGAAAATAACACAGAGATCTTGCACACATCAAAAGCAAAGGCTGAATAATGCGTAGCAACCTTAAAACCATTCCTGCAGGCAATAGATACTTGAGAATTGCACCAATTACACGTCTGCATTTTTGGGCATCTCTGGGCAAGCCAGGAGCTGCAGGCAGGCAGGGCATCAAATGCCCAGAGAATGCCGCCGTGGAATGAGTAGGATTTACTGCCGTTCCAGAGACTTCCTTCCCTACCCCACAAAACTCACAGCTCGACAGGCCTTTACAAAAGAACATTAGATAAAATTGGAGTTGAATAAGCATGCCAATGTAAAATGGATTTTTTTTTTTTTAAAGGCTCTTTTGAAAGATTTATATTGTAACACAGCCTGCATCACAGTAACAAGGTTAGCAGCGTCCAAAGTTCAAAATCTTTACAAGAACGCTGGACTTAGCTAAAACTTCAGAGATCCTGTCAGAAGGAATAGCTGTCAAAGGTTATTCTTGCAGTGTTAATCTTTTTCAATTATCTACAATAAGTCTTCAAGCAACCTACACAAAATGGACAAGGTAATTCAATTTGTAGTATATACTGTAAGGTTTCAATTTCATCTCCTGTACCCGCTATTGTAATGTCATAAACTTGGGCACTGCAGAGATACAGAAAGTTGTTTGATTAACACAGCCATTAACAGAACATCCACATTTTCCATGATGTGAGAAATGGAAACATTAATAGAATAAATGCCAGTGTGAAACTGATCCCAGGCCAATAAGGTTAGGACATAGTGCAAGAAGAAGGATTCAGTTTCAATAAAAGTAATTAAACATTAAAAAAAGACAAAGATACAGTAATCAAATTGCTCCTTTAATAATAGAAGTTACTTTCTACTTCATAACTGAATAAGCGTGTCTTTGAAACTTTTGTGACAACACATCTGATTAGGTTAAAGAAATGAGCATACTGACTCTTTACTCCATAATTTCATTATAGCATATTAAAATCAAATTGCAAATTATGAGTAAATCGTACATTAAAATAAATCAGCACATATTAGGCTGCTTTCATAACCAGAAACACAATGCCAAGGGCTTTTACTTTCTAGATTTCTTACAATGACTGACCTGCACTTAAACTTGATATAATTTTTGACTGCACAGACTTCAATTGACAAGTATTGTAACCAATTATTTCTTACCACACACTAGTTGGCTAACAACTGTAATATACCAAAAAAAATTGTCTGACAGCCCCGTCCCAGCTGTTAAAAAAAATTGCTTCGTTTCTCATGTCCTACTGCAGTCACTCTACATGTCCCATAATGTACTTCTAACAGCTGCCAGAGCATTAAGATTCATAGCAGTAAGACTTACACTGTGGAAACGATCTGTGGATGATGGTGCTTCTCACTTCTGCACTCAGCAGTGCACTCAGTAGGAATCAATACCAATGCAATTGCCAATTTCCATTTGCATTATGACCTCTAATAACCTCAGCCAAATTTTTGTATTCCCTTACATTAAAACAACACTATTCAGCTACTTGTCCAGCTTCAGTCAACGTGAATAACCACAAACATAATGGTCATTTCTTGAGTTGCCATAAATCTGCATAATTTATTGAAGTGGAGCCACCAACAACGTAGGATTTGGTCTCAAGTTAGAATCAATATTAATAAGTATAACAGTAACAGTCAAAATATTACTGAGCCTTAATCTGATGCTCTCAAAGGGTTTACACAAGTTAATTTTGTTTGCTTTCTAATATAGATCAGATGTGGCTCAGACACTGAACTAACACAGATCAAAATATGTTTGTTTTCATGCATATTCTGCTCCATCTCAAACACTTTCCACTTCTGAACTGAAAAAAAAATGAGCATAACTGGACTTAAAACTTTGAAAAGAGGCACCATTTTACCTACAACAAAGTTTTCCACGTGGATATGGTGAAAAGACCAAGGTAATGTTTCTGAAGGCACACTCATAGACTTCCTTTGTAAGATCAAGATTTAAGAGATGATTACAAGAGATAAAGGAGCACATGTGCACGCACACAAAATAAAGAAATTTCATTTTAAAATTGGTGACCACAGGAAACATGGAGTTGAAGCAGCTCAGTGGAAAGTCATTTGTTAGCCACAAAATAATTTCTTTGGGCACAGCTCCCTAAAGGAAAGAAGGTAATGCAGAAAGGCCAGCTGCTTGCTGCTGCTGCTTCATAGTGGGACACTGCAAAATACTCTTCAAAAGATACTGAGAACTTACAAAAAGCACTTTAAGGAATCAAAAGATAAAATAACATAATAGCATCACAATTCCTTACCAGGTAATGGTGTTAAACAGTTACAAACAAATGAAACAATCACAAAACCAATTCTGAAACCACGGTATTTTTATGGATTTAATTTTGAATATCCAAGGACAGAATTTTCCCTCAAGTGTGAATAGCTTTGTGTTTTTCTTTCATTTTCTTTGCAGATTTAATGTCTATGACGACATAAGAGTGGAAACTGGCCAGTGTTTGCTGCCATATTAAAAATAATAACCCGAGTTCCACTTCTGCACAGTTAGAAATGCATCTAATTTTTATTTTCCCAATTTTTAATGGTTAATTTTTACTTTTTTTAATTTTTTTTTTTTTTTTTTTTTTTGGTCTCCACTAATTCACAAAAATCAGTGTTTAATAACAAACGAGAACAAATACAATTTTGGAATTTTCAGCTGGGTAGCTGTTCCCAAAGTTTGGAGGTCACAACAAATTTGCCAGACAGCATTTTTAATTAACTACATTAAAGTGTTATCTAGGCCAATATACTGTTTACAACTGTAGTTGGCGACAGGTGATTAAAAACAAATGTAAGAAACATGATATGGGATTATTATATTTATAGACTTCTGTGCACGTGTCTTTTTCCTACCCACAAACGTGGTCCATGCAGAGTTTTCAAGATGTTTACCCGTGCTCAGGAGTGCAGAACTCATTTCAGTCCAGCGTGAGCTGAGACACGGCTACTTTGGAAGCGAGCACTCAGCACTCGCACCCACTGACTGCTCAGCATATGCACAAGCTTTGTGCACAGTAGCAGGTAGTGTATCTATTTGTATCCATCACATTTACATTTCCACAGAGCACTGTAAATGCTTCCAGGAAATACCACCTGCCCAAGCCACATCTGCCTGCATTTTAATTACATATTCCTGTTAATTAGGGTGCTCAGCTGCCTGGTCTCCTGCCTGCCCACTCAGATTTCCTACAGTCTGAACTGACTGCCCCAAATCTGCAGATTCCAAAAGAAACAATGGAAGTACAACAGAGGAAAAGTTTTAACCTACTGATAAATACATTTCAGAGAAACATTTCGAGGAAGTTTGCAGCACAAATGCAGTGCAAAGCTGTGGTTAAGCACAAGTCAGCCCCGACACGACCAGATGCTCTTCCTTCCATACACCCATTCCTGCTCGGCAGGCCAGGCCCCACAGCAGGCACTGCTCAGGAAGACAGCAACAGGTCCTCATGATGGGCAGGACTTGCTGCCAGTCCCACTCTGTGCCACCGTGCTGCCTGGCAGGTATTTATGTGGAGCTCATCCAGATACAGTGAGGGATGCTTGCTGTCTGAGTCAGAAGAAATCAGACATCATATTCATTCGTAGATATCTATATATTGCTTTTGCTATCAAAGCATTTACAGATCTATATCATCGTGTCTATGAATGCTACATAGTACCTACAATAAAGACATCAAGCTATTAACATAAAGCAGTATGATTAACAACAGTCTTCATCTTCTGCACAGACTGAGTAAATGTAATTCATAAAACCATAAAAAAATACATAATATCAGGTGAAAGAACACCATCTCCAGATTTGGTTATGCAGCTCCATAGCAGAAAAATGGTTTTGATTTATTATTTTGA